CACTACCACAGCCTCACTACCACAGCCTCACTACCACAGCCTCACTACCACAGCCTCACCACCACAGCCTCACCACCACAGCCTCACTTCATATACAAGTCCTATGATGTATATATTATATAGCTAGAGAAATCTTATTACATATAGCCTTAAATAGACATATTTATGCATAATTATTATAATTACTCTGCTTTCATGTTCAATTCACTCAATATCTACTCGACAAACTCTCACTCATATGAAGGCATTTCCATCTAAATTTATTATGATTAAATAAAGTTTAATATAATATATTGAGATAATAATTGATATATTGTACGTGTTCAGTGAGATGGGGCATCATCTGTTCACGCTGGACCTGAGCTATAATGCCCTGGTCGACATACCCAAAGATGCCCTGCGACATCTGGCGGCGCTTGAGTGGCTTAACTTGCAGGGGTATGTTAATACCTTTATTCTAATGTGACTACTTTACACTGATTAAATTGTTTGAGAAGTTCCTATGACGTACCAGGAATTGAACAATTGTTTGCTCCCTAATCGTTCCTTAGTGAATTAAAACTATTTGGCAGAGACGCTTTTTTTTAGTTCTGAATATTTAAGATACGTTTCTATATGGAATATTGTTAACATATATTAGGGTATTGACATTTGTATCGTATATCTCAGTGATCGTATAATTTTGTATAAATAATTTCTTAAATATATGAACATTGAAATTATATATTAGTAAATATTTCGCGCGCCAGATGACAGAGGAATAAAAAATAAATATTGCAATACATATGAATAATCAATATGCAAATCAATAGGAAGCAAGCACTTCATATTAGCCGCTTTTGACTTCAGGAACCAGATCGCGGAAGTGACGCGCGATGACTGGAACGGGCTGCGGGACACGTTGATGTCCCTCTTTCTGGCCGAGAATAATATCGACTACGTACCTCCTCATTCACTAACCGACTTCCGAAAACTGCTATGGCTTAATCTGGATGATAACAACATGAATCGGCTAGAAAGGGACTCACTTTCACGAAGTATCAACACCCTGAGTCTCAACCATAACCTGATTACCTCATTCCCATCTGATATCGTCAGCGAGTTCAAAGACCTAACTTGGTTGTACCTCCGAGGTAACCTAATTGACAGACTGCCTGATCGCGGCTTTGTCTTCCCCAAAACTATCGATAAATTAGACCTCGGTGAAAACTTCATTTCTTTCATACCTGATCACTTGTTCAACAGTACTCTAAGTGTGCGGGACCTGCATTTTGATTTCAATTTGCTCACTGAAATTCAACCAAATGCTTTTCAAGGACTCAACCCTTCTCGGTTGTACCTATCAGCGAACGCAATCTATAACATCACTGATCGAGCTTTCTTAGGTGGACCCGAAGAAACCCTAGTCATGCTGGATTTGGAGAAGAATAATCTCGGTGGCGTTCCGAAGGCTCTGTCTTTCTTGAAAAGCTTGAGGTATCTTTACCTACCTGGAAATCAAATCACTGAAATCCAACGGGACGCTTTTAAAGGCTCATGTCACAAACTGGAAGCATTGAGCCTCTCAGGCAATTTTCTCAACAGCATACCAAGAGTTGCGCTGGAAAACTGCAGCATGATTAACCACCTGAATTTGGGCCACAATCGAATTGAACAAATTGATCCTGAAGATTTTTCAACGTGGGGCGACAACTTGGAAACTTTGGTCCTCCGGAACAATCGTCTTTCCAGCATTCCAGCCAATGCTTTCCGGCACACGCCAAGAATGCGAGAGCTGAGTCTATCTTTCAACAGGATCGTAGACGTCAATCAAGATTCTTTCATAGATATTCTGGCGTCTTTGGAAATACTTGAAATCAGCTTCGGCTTCTACCGGGATGATTTTCCCGTTACAGTTTTCAAACCGTTGACATCTCTACAATGGATTGCACTTGATAATAATAACTTCCGTACCATAGCAGAAACTGCTTTATATTCTTTCGGAGAGCTGAGCTATTTCAATATGGATTCTAATCGACTCACTAGAATACCCAAAACTTTATTTCATCAGAACGTTCACAAGAAATTAGTCGATATCAGAATGGCCAACAACTTCATCGAAGAATTGGGTACACACACTTTTCATAATTTAGAGGCATTGCGCACTATAGTGCTGACAGGAAATAAAATAAGGAAAGTTAAATTTGAGGCCTTCAAGAACTTGCCCACGGTCAACACTATCGCCATTTCCAGCAACCAAATCAGCGAAATTGAATTTCAAGCCTTCAGCGGTCTCACAAGCCTCGTGGAACTGGAACTACAACAAAATCGCTTAACGACTTTCTCACTCAATAATTTCGCTAATTTTTCGACGAATCAATCGCCTCTCTCTTTAAACTTGTCCCACAACGTACTGGTTGAACTACACCCAGGCTCGGTTGGCCTGTTTGCCATGAAGAGTCTGGATATCAGTCATAATCATCTAAAGCAAGTTCCTGTAAACTTTTTGCACATATTTATGCAGTTCTTGGAGAAACTCGACATAAGTTACAATCGAATCACAAAACTTGATACCAGTGCCTTCGGTCCTCTTGAACAACTTCAACTGTTGATGCTTCAGCACAACAACATTCAACAGATCCGTCCTGGAGCTTTCAACAACCTTCAAAATGTGCAATTGGTTGATCTCAGTCACAATCATCTCCAAGCCTTACCCCATATGTGCTTCTCAGATATGCTAGCGCTGCGAAAAGTCGATTTCTCTCACAACCATCTTCGAGCCTTGCCACCATCGGTCTTTACAGGAACATCCGTCGAATCTCTCAACTTTGCTTATAATGAATTTGTTTCACTGCCAACAGCTGCGCTTTCCATCGTCGAATCAACTTTGCACTATCTAGACATCTCTCGAAACCATCTCGAGCATCTCGACTCGACGATGTTCAACAGTTTCTCGAACCTAATAGAGTTGAACATTGCAAGCAACAAACTTACAATCTTGCCCGATAATGTGTTCGTGAACCTCAGGAACCTCATTAGCTTGGACATCAGCGAAAATACAGTGCGCGCAAACTTCAAAGAGCTTTTCCATTACACTCAGAACGTCCAGAAGCTAAACTTAGCCAAGATTGGCTTCACGTCGTCGCCCACAATTCCATTACCAAATTTAGTTTATCTGAACATTTCCCACAACGGTATCTCAGATATCGAGGTGCACTCGGTGGTCAGTTTGAGGCAGCTACGCACTCTCGACCTTTCCTACAATCAGATTACGCATGTACGCTCCAGAATTTGGCCTTATCTCCCCTATCTAAAGCGGCTCGACCTCTCAGGCAACCCTATTCAGTCGCTCACAAAGGACAGTTTCGTAGGCGCTTCAAGAATCGAAACTCTTATCTTAAAAGACCTGAACGAAATCATGCGCTTCGATTATGACACACTTTCTCACATGGGATACCTCAAGGAACTCTTCATGAACACCTTCCCCAATATTGAAAAGTATCGCTTCCGTGTGGGCCAACTTTTGGCGACGGTTCACACGCTTCGCACCCTCCATTTGGAAGTTCGAGAAGATGCATTAACGGACCAACTTTCCGGAGCGTTTGGACCGAAGTTGAAGGAACTTCACATATCTGGAGCAAACCTGAAGGCCGTCGACTCCAAAACTTTCAAAGGCTTCCAAAACAAGCATGAACTGTTGCTGTCCATAACGGTGAGTGTCAGCGCTCTTTTGCCGCACTTTTCCTTTAACTTTGATGAATGCAGGCCATTAGGCAAGTAATTGCCAAACCTTCCATCTCGCTCAGACGCGCCTTATGGGACTCCTTTGTCTCGGGTATAATAGAAAAATGTGTACTAAAACTTGGCAAGTTTGGCAGTTGCCGAGGTCTGGACTCCATTGTATTAGTGAGAGTGATGGCGTCTCGCCGGCTCATGCCTTTCGGAAAATTAGACGGAATTTAAAACTTTCGTTAATATATATTCATTTTACTCAAAGCTATCAAATATTGAGTGATTTAGATGCAGCCAGAAACAAATCGATTTAGCAACATTAATGCTTCGCAAAATTCATTATATCTATAGAAGTATAGAGCAACTGACGGTCATCCAGCCGCCGCCCACCGGACCCTAATATATATATATATATATATTAATAGCTAGCCGCATACATAATCACGTTATTTATCGTGTAATATCGCGTCTTTTAATCGACTTCGTATAATTCGGCTGAGTACAGAGTAATGTTACGTCATTTCAACCTCTCCAAGGCTATGATAAGCATCGGTAGCATTTAATTACTAAGTATTACCTTTTAAATTATATTATATTAAATTATATTATATTATATCATATTATATTACTTGCGTTTGGCCATGCGTTTCGAGCACCCTATTTGTGGGCACAGTTCTGTAATGGTGCGGGCACGACAACCCGGGGGCAAAGTGCCCTATTCTCTCCTGGGACCGGCGACCATTTTAGATCATCGTAATTACGCTCCCTTCGTCGCTGTACCATGTGGAAAACCATCGCCGGGCTGGCTGATCATCGGTCCCCGGATGTTGAAGAATATTAGTTGAAACATTTTATAATTTTGCAAGCAATATGAGCCCGATTCATGACAGCGATAATTAGCTGCCAAATGGCGTCGGATGATCTTATTTGAAATTTTATGGGTAAGTTTAGTCGCAAGGCAGTGGAGCGAAACGCTTGCTAATTTTTAAACCACTCGCGCGTTGGTCACAAGACTCAGCCTATTATGCTGCTTGTGTAGAGGTCGCTCTATTATTAGTTATATTATATTATTATTTTATATTATATCACATTATATTATATTATACATGCGATCCCCCTTAACAGGACACGGGCATCGAGACACTGCCCGACGGTCTACTGACGCACCTGTCGGACGTGGCGTATCTCTCCCTGGACTTGCGACGCAACAAACTCAAGTTCCTCAACTCGCAGGTCCTCTACGGCAACAAGTCCGACTGGGAGAGCCGCGGCACCACCTTCGTCGCCGGTACCTAGCGCAATTTATTATTGAGTTATTTTATATTTTTTTATTTCAATTTTTAATTTATTTACTTTATATTTTATTTATTATTGAGTTCAATTATAAGCTAGTTACTGTATGTGATACGCGGTTGTTAATGATATTGATTTTTTGGGTTTTTAACCAAATATTATGTGGCATATTACGCAATAATTATGCTATTATTCATATAATATGAGTGTAATAATATAATTTTAAAAATCCTGTTACGTGATATGTACATTTTGCATATGATTTCTTTGAGAAAATGGGTAAAATTTGGCTTATTTCCTCGCCAACAATATTTTTACTTATATCTGCGCCACCAGGTGGCCTAGCGTTGCAGGGCAATGAGTGGACGTGTGACTGTTCCCTGGTGTGGCTGGGACGGTGGCTCAGACGATGGCTGAGAGAGACCCTGCAGATACATACAGCCGTGCTCAAGAAGGCCCAGCAGGTCAGCCTAATTATTAATCTGGTATTTGTGCATGCAAAACCTTAAGGGTCTGGTTCAGTGAACCGCGAACTCGGTGAGCTGCCAGAGCGGCCAAGGACTGACTTGAAGCTTGACATGAACTTCACTTAAACATTTTTTTTCTTCAATTAATACAAACGATTATTTTTACGCAGGTTGACCAGTTGGCCCGTGAGGCAGTGTGCTACGAACCATCGACAGGGCAACATGTTGCTCTCTTGGACCTGAGATCAGAAGACCTAAGTTGTCATGCCTCGGCCTTAAGTGACACAGCCCATACGTCTGGCACGGCAGCGAACGCTCCTATATTGCCTGCCCTATTTTTCCTAGCAACGACTCATGCATTCCTGGCTCTAAATGAACAAATTTACAGAGTCCTGACCCAATTTAATATGCCTATTATGCATCTTAACATTGCAATCACGGTGATAACAATCGCTGTTATTACGGCTGCTAAAACTACGGTTGTTACAATAGCTGCTAAGGTACGTGGCACAGCTACTGTTCTGACTTCCAAGATCATCACAAACACACTGGCAAGAAGCATAAGAAGCATACGCAACGAATTCTATGATGATGACCCGGTAAATGGGCTAAAAAGTCATAGTTATGAAGAGAAAAGTGAGTTAAAATTGGAAACTGGCTGTTCGCATCCTAAAGAAAACAATGACTTAGAGCCACGTGAAGTAGTGAAAATGGTTGTAGATGAAATTGAAATGAAGCCCGTGACAACAATAATGTCCGAAGTATCTGAAGAAACAAGAGATAGTTGTCACTTCAACCTCATTATTAGGAATCTTGACCTGGAATACCTTGATGGAAATCACGAACTCCTCAAGCAGACTGATCTATGTGATGAAGTTTTGTCATCAGCTGAAATGATTATCGTAAACGACGAAATACTGTCTTCAATAGCGGAGCGTCAACTTACCCAGCCATGCCAATTATATTCTAATCAAAATATTTTGGCCACTTTTATCAACACCATTGATGATCATAAACTTCAAGTTTCTGCAATTGATGTTGACGTTGAGGGATTATCTTCAACCTTGCTTGGAGAAGAAGTTCAAAGAACCTTAAGCTCTGTTCCCACGTCCAAAATAAACAAAGACGAGGCACCGAACGGCATTCACGATCCAATCATTTCGAGTACAGCAGACATCGATATTATTCCTCAATGTGAGCGCCTCACCATCCCCAAAACTCCCCACCGACGTGATACAAATCAACCCGACTGTGTTCCTCATGCAAATGAACGCAGCCCCAACACACAATTTTCCCCCTGGCCGTACATGCAATCTGTTACCTCATCTGAAGAGACCCGCTCGAATATAAATGTTTCAGTCGCCCCTCAAAATCCCCTTCTGTTGCAGGATGTCCACAGATAAGACCAATGCAGGTGCACGGATTTTACTGAATGTAATTTCTGTTAAATTCGTTTATTCGCCTAAGAAAATTAGTGTAAATTGTCGATCGAGTTCCGTGTTGAGACTCCCCAGGACCATCACCGTTATTGTTGCGCATCACTTTGATCGCTAAACGAATTCGTGAGCGTCGTCACATTTGTCTATTCGTTTTAGAATTTTTTGTTCGAAGATTTGAAGTTTTTCTAGACAATTTCCATCCTTGATAATGCATGGAAGCACAGAAAATCACTCGAGCGTGTTTACGTGCGATAATATGGAAATATGATATATAAAGTGGAAAGTACTATGATGCATGCACGTGACAATACGTAAGCTCTACGTTGCACGCAATGTACAGCACTTGAGTTTTCATGCACTAGTGCCGGTGACGTAAGTTCTACGATGCTCTTTATTCTCAATTAAAAGTATTTCATTAATCGGATCGTTGCCAGCAGTAAATGATTAGCTGATGACTCAACACCAGTAATTATAATTACCCACACATCTTATGAGCTTTGAAGTTGATTTATCTTGCGAATTTTCTACACGTCGTATCCAAAAGTTTCTTTTGATGTGATTATATTTTTTATTTCTGTTCTAGAAAGCAGTCAATAAGACACCAGCGCGTGAATCCACCAAACTCAATTTCTTCGTAACACTTTTTTTTATCTAACGTGGGTTATATAATGCCCATATATAAGTCTTCATCCTAAACTGTGATTAACAGTTCAATTGCTGCATTCATCGCCAAGATTTTATACTATTACGTTAAATTTAATTCACTCTTGGCGTTATCAATTATGCCTTGTATTATCTTCTATTCATTTATTTGTTATTTAATTGTTCTACTTCCAGTCTCCGTGGTTGAGTTGCTAAATGTAATTGAGCTCTGAGCTGGCCTCGCAAACTGTCCACAACTTCACTGTAGTTATCAATGCAGCTATTTTCACTTGCATCATCAGCTTTCTTTCGCACTAATTACCCATCATTTCCATTACCTGTTCACTGTCTCGAGTCGCTGTTCTGTCATCGTCTCCTCAGTACCTCTCGTCTGACGAACCTAAGACGTATGCCACGTCATCTCCTCGTCCTGTACATAAAGCCTTCGTCTATGTAGCTCTTCAGAAGCTCGTATTGTTAGAGCTCCACTGTAGAGATTTGAGTCTCCATAAATAAATAGATAATATCAATCCTCAACGCACTCGTAAGTAGAAGGGATGCTTCCCACCAGGCATCTGACGTAAAAACGTAATATAAACGCTCTTTCAACGTCATTTGCCTGAACGGTTGTATGGCCGACCATTGGTAGTTGTTTTGGCCGCAGATAAGCCGACTATAATTCAGGACCACCATCCCGCACAGCAGTATAGTGCACGAATGACATTAATATTTTGCACCGTAGTTAGCGTCTTTCTTTAGTCCCCAGTTTATATTAAAGAACAAAACAACAATACATGCGCAAATAAAAATATTTTACATGACCACCGTAATACCTAAGAAACTTTATAATCTTGTGTAAGACTCTGTGCAACGTTCTCGTTAAGTTTTATTCAACTTATTGAGTCATTTCAAATGAAATTTTTTTCTGTTTGGCCTTTGAATTGCCAAACATATTTTCTCTCTATTGAACTGAAGACGAACTGGCGAGTGAGTGGTGAATGAGTGATGAGGGGTGAATGATGAGTGCTGAGTGAGTGATGGTGAGGGATGAATGAGTGATGAGTGAGGGATGAATGATGACTGCTGAGTGAGTGATGGGTGAGGGATGAATGAGTTGTGAGTAAGGGATGTGAGAGTTATGAGCGAGTGATGAGCGAGTGATGAGCGAGTGATGAGCGAGTGATGAGCGAGTGATGAGCGAGTGATGAGCGAGTGATGAGCGAGTGATGAGCGATGAGCGAGTGATGAGCGAGTGATGAGCGAGTGATGAGCGAGTGATGAGCGAGTGATGAGCGAGTGATGAGCGAGTGATGAGCGAGTGATGAGCGAGTCATGAGCGAGAGATGAACGAGTTGTGAGTGAATAAGAGAGAGTGATGAGCGAGTGGTCAGTCATGAGCGAGTGGTCAGTAATTTATGAGTGGTGAGTGAGTGATGAGTGGTAAATGGTGAGTGATGAGTGAATAGATAGTGAGTTGTGAGTTAGTGATGAGAGACTGGTGACTGATTGGTGAGTAAGTGGTAAGGTGGTGGTGAGTGAGAGATGAGTGAAGGGTGAATTAGTAATGAGTACCTGCTTATTGATTGGTGAGTGGTGGGTGATTAGTGGTGTGTGATGAGTGAGTGGTGAATGAGTGATGAGTGAGTGATCAGTTATTCGCCAGAACTTGGCTATCCCCACTACTTTTCACACAAGCAACAACGACAAATTATTTCTCAAGGTATCGAAACATTTTCGATACTTTTCATTTTCTCCATTGAACTTACAGGATAAGGAATATCACTCTTGACAACTGATAAATCATATTCATCAAAGTTCGTATAACTTCGTGGCCTGAATATAGGCAGAATAAAATAATAACGCACCAAGGAAAGCCAATGATAAATTTCGAAATGTAAATCGGTTTAAAACTGAGATATCGAAATGTTAATCAGTAATTTCAAATGAGAAACTAAAAATTTTTTTGCATTAGAATTATTCAGTGGAAAATACTTGAAAAAAATTATGTTTTTGAAACATATTGATAGCTGTGTTACTTGTATAGTCTTCTTTATTGAATTTATTTATTAATTGAATTGAACCTCCGTGAAAGAGATAAGGTCACAATCCATCATTGAATAATTATTATATAAGAAAATAAATTGCGGTCTATAGCTATGCAAATATTTCAGAAATAATACGTTTACAGCGATTACATTATTCAGCATTTAGTGTAAAATAGACGAAATTCGAATTTCCCTATCTTGCCCTATTAAAAAATAGAGGTGAATCTTGCACGGCCGATCACCGGTCAACCATTGAGCGAGTTAACTGCACCCAATTGATAAGGTTGTACCTAGTGTAGGTCTTTGAGAACTTGGTAGTGACTCCGGTAGTTCTACTTTTCATACCGTATTGTACATTTCTATCTAGACTTAAGTCAGGATCTAACATATACAATATTTAATAAGTCAGTAGAGTAGAAGGCGCCATCGCCAGAGAATATTAAGATTATGGGTTGAAAATTGTTGTTTTTCAAAATGCATTTTAATGTAATAGCTTAAAATGGCAATCTTGTATGCATAATAGTTTATGTCATGAGCTATGAAATAATTTATGAAGGTTGTTTGGTGAACTGAACCTTCCTTTGACAAATTCATAGGTGGTGACGAAGGTGGTAGGTGGTGACGGGGGTGGTAGGGTGGTAAGTGGTGAGGGGCTGGTAGGTGGTGACGAGAGTGGTACGTGGTGGAGGGGCATAAAGGTAGTTGAGGGCGTACCAATAGGGCAGTAGGTTTGCTCTCACTGCATCACCAACGCTAGTGTTACAATAATACTAATGTCAGAAGCAAGACAGTCAGGGTTTTTACTTACTTTTTTCTGGTTTATTTCATCAATGTTGTCACTTCTATTAAATAAGAAACTTTAAAGTCTAGCATCAATAATTTTATATCATAAATTACCAGAACGATACAATTTTTTTAAACTGTCTTTGAGTAAAATACTCCCAGATCTTCACAGGCAATATCTTGCTCCTTTGCTAGAAATTATTCTAATTTTTTGTCTTTAATTTCACTATTGATGGATATTGTTCCACTCAAACCATTCATTGTTTAATTAATCGAGAACTATCATAATAACCACTTCACCGAGAAGCAATCAGTATGGCAATCACTTTAATCTTCGGCTCAATAGAAATGAATTTTTAAGGCCATCGTCTTGAACTCTAATGTATGTGAATATTACGTGAATGCATCTAAATGTATTGAATATCTTGTGATTGGTACAATGCAGGTATGGATATTATTACGGATGGTCACGGCTAGCAGTTAATGTGATGTAACTCTGGCAGGTATAGCAGAGTGAGTTTTAGAATGAATGTTTTATCCGGACCAGTAAGTAATTAACTCACTTTTCTGGTAGGAATAGCGTTACGGATTAACCTATTGATGATATTTTTGAAGGCAATAAGCGCGACACAATCGCCAGTCTCTCCATACTCCTGTGAAACACAACTGCTGTCCATTTTCTGTCAATCTGTGTGTCGTGTCATGCTCCTGTCATGCTACCCTATTACTGTCACTCTATGTATCATGTCAGACTCCTGTCATGCTCCCTTATAGCCTATAGGTGTTTATACCCGGGGCGACTAGTTGCGTTGATTAGTAGAGTCGACTACAGTTTTGCCGGCTGAGAGCCTACACACGAGGAGAGTGTTTTCGGTACAGTCCGCCAGCAAGCGTCAGTGCGACGTTGGAAATTGTTGAGTGAGGTGTGTGCCTGGTGGAGGCAAGAGAGAGAGAGCGACACAGTTGTGCGCACTGCATCGGCCACGGCGGTACTGGGTTTACTCGACTGGCTCAAAACAACTGCAGCTAGTCGCCACTGAAGACGTTAATCATCACAAAATATTTGGAGTCGCCTCGAATAATTGACCCGACTAGTCGCCCCGTGTATAAGCACCATATTGCTGTCACTCCGTGTCCTGTCATGCTTCTGTCATGCTTCCACTGAATTTGTAAACAGAATAAATTAATCAATTTAACGCTAATATATTACAAGTTGGTTCTCTTGTTAGTGGCAGGATGTTCACTCCTTCAAGTCCGTGAAGATAATGCACTTCAAATAATGTTATAGAACTTTGTGAGGAATTATTGGCAGAACCAGCGGCTGATCAGATTTTTAAATCAATTTGCAAAAAAATTAATTTTTTTAATCACAAAAATTATTGTTGGCCAGTTCTAAATATTGAAAAGCATGACAACCTAAGAATCATCCTTATCACGAGCATAGATTTAACTAGCATCTATCCTGTTTTTAAAATAATGGTTAACTATTGGAAATAATGGAAACTATTATTATGTCCACAATTTGTTCGATAAAATTCTGCATCTAATAGAGTTAGATATGTGCGTAAATCAGAAAGATATATCCATTGTAAATCTTATTGTTTCTGCAAACTGTCGAAAAATATAGAAACTATTTTTAAAAACTATGCAATAGAAACAAGTTTGTTAAAGCAAAGCGTTTTGATGGTATTGAGTAAATTGTGGAATTATTCTCGGAATTTGTATATAATTAGTATAAGCTCTTTTGATTTAGCTTGAACACACAATTTCGTCGGTTTTATTAGAATAATCTGAAATTTGTATATATCAAATACTTATACATAGGTAGCTTGAGTGATTTATTAACTAAACAAAGGATTACAACGAGCGAGAAATATGTACATTGAAAAAACTCTATGTAAAGTTTGTCCCTAAATTGTTGCATCGTTAAAATACACTCGCACAAACTCTTATGATTTGCAATAATTGTATCAAGACATAAGTTTGTAATACAAATCTTTAATGCACATAATAAATAATAGCTGAGACGATTTAACATTATCGGAGTTTTATAATGCTTTGTTCATTAGTTATTTCAATAACTAACGTAAGCTTGTCACGCAACTGCAACACTAGATTGAAACACCCATCCTACCCTGAGAAACACATGTGAGTGTCGGTGTCAGTTTCCTATTTTGAAGGCAGACTTGAAGGATTTTTGTCTGTTTGAAATACAAAAATTATCTTCACATAACTATAGCCATTGAGGTCTGAGAAATTCTGTATTGTTTTCAAGCTCAAGGTTAAAGTTTTCATTGAGGTCATTTTAATACACGTATATTGAGGTCATTTTTTATCGAGGTCATTTTAATACACGTTGACTGTATTTTCCTCAAGATAGTAAGCAACATGAGAAAATGTTTGCAATTTTTAGCTTATATTTTAGAATTTATTTGCTAAAGTCAGTTCATAAATTTTATTGTCAAATTTGCCGCTGCAACGAATGATGTATGATAATGAAAGAACCATTTACGATTTCGTAAAAATATTCAGTTATTTTATTAGAATTAAGGTGAATAGAATTAAAGGCATTTGAGAATCTTAATAGCGAACGATTTTCCTCCTATCTCAATTAATACAAGCAAACAACAACAGATTTATTATTAATACAGACAATTTACATCCATAAAAGTAAATATTTAGAGCTCATAATTAACTGACATTACCATCACAATCCATTTCTCATTCATTTGTATAGACACCATTCACTTAATTTTATCAGCACTCACGGTATTCGATTTAGTCATGATTCACTCATTAATTTAATTGCGTTCAAAAATACTACATTATTCATTTATTAAAATAACAATTCTACACTAGACGTAGAGAGATGGATAAGCTACTGACTTCTTGCTTTACTGAAATTGGTTTAAGTTTACAGAAATCAGGTCCAATTTTTGACTTAATTACTGCACGGTATCTTTAGAAAGTCTGGTTTCTCACCCATCTTCGGTATCCTTGGAGGCGCAACACTCAATAAAGTTGATGAAGTTCTTCATGGTTTGATTGCCTCGCACTTCTGCTGGCTATGCAGAGTGCGTGTGTGGGAAGGAACTGTCA